AAAAAATTTGGTTTGTGGGCTATTGAATTGTGATTTTTAATTACCTTCTATAACTGTTCTCAACTGAAGTTAGATGTCTCAGTTGTCTGAACTCAACTGACATTTGATATCTCAGTTGCTCTTGGGTCAAGCCCATCATAGGCAGGTGCGTGTGCGTGACACACACATACACACACACACAAAACTTGTTCATTACATTTTCAACCTCTTACTTCATCAGCTTATGCTTAATACCCAAGATTCAGACTACTGTACTACAGATTTGTTTTCACAGCAATAAATCCTTAGTTCTTTGTTATGACTCCACTCAACAAAAGGCCTACAGAAGTGATTTATTATTTGGATACTTGGGAGATGATTTATTTGAGGTGTTTTTTTAAAAAAACAAAAAACAAACCAACAAACCTTTTTCACTCCATACTTAGTTGTACTTCATTGTCGAGTGCATACTTAGATTAGATTCTTGGATTGTAAAGTGGATCTGCTGCTTTTTTTTTTAAATAAAATTTTACTGGAAATGTTTAATTGGCATTGTTTCTCAACATTAGCCAAAGAAGCAGCTTTGTTTCATAATGTCAGTCCTGTATTTCTTTCCTAAAGTCAGTGTAGGCTCCGTCAGTCATCTTTTTTTTCTTTTTTTAATGCCCCAGAATAACCTAAGTATCAACTGGAAGTTAATGTTTCATAGAGAAGAAAATCTCAGTGTGGTTCTTACAGTCTTTTGACTGAAAGACGAATGTTACTCCTTCTGGTTTATAAGATTGTATTTAACTGTGTTCTTTTCCTTTATTATCAGAAGTTCTCACTGCTGGCAGTGCTGGTTCAGGTGCCTAAGAATATTTCTGAAAGTCACATCATTAATGAGACCTGCCAAATGACATTTCTCATCTCTGTCAAGTTCATGAACTCAAGTTCACATTGACGCTGTAGGGTGGGACGGTCACAGAATGCACCCACTTTGTCCCCAGGAAATTTGAAATGAAGCAGGTGCTAGATGGAATTTTTTCCCCCTGTTCCATGAGCTATGTTAGTTCTATATTTTAAGTAGGCCTAATGCTTGAATAAACCATATGTCTAATCAATAAATTATTTTCATGCTCAGAACATCAGGTTTTGTACCCTAGTGTAGCTTGGACTCATTCCTTACTGTAAGAAAGCTTAACAGCAATGTGATTTAAGGCTTTGTTTTGGGTTTTTTGTTTTTTAAGTGGGGGATATGTGTGGTTTAATTCATGGGTACTTTTTAGAACCTTATAGATAATCCCATTGCCTTTATTTTTCTAATTAAAGAGTTCCTAAATACTTTGAAAATATAAACTATTCCTGAATAGTTGTGCTTTACACTGGTTTTATTTGAAGATAAAAATGGGTCCTTGTTCATTACAGCTTTATGTAGATTAGTCAGTATGTTAATAGTAATTGTAAATCAAATTGGGATGACAAGGCAACTGAGGGGGGAAGCAGAGGCTGAAACGATGGGATTATCAGTTATTGATCAATGAAGAGTTCATAAATTGAGCAGTTATGGATAATTTGAAACTCATAAAGCTAACCAAACCTGTTCTCCTTTAGTTGTTGTTGTTATGTGCTGTGGAGTACAGCTCACAGGGACCCTGTTCTTTCCTGCACCATCCTCCTCGTCTCCACCACGCTTGAGCCCATTGCCACAGTCACCGTGTCAGTCCATTCACTGAGGATCTTCCTGTCTTTCACTGACTTCCACCTTTCAAAGTATGATGTCCCTTTCTGAGGAATAGCCACTCCTAAAAACATGTCCATAGCTGTGAGATGAAGTTTCACCATCCTTGCCTTTAAGGAGCCGTCTGGTTATACTTTCTCCAAGACATATATGTTCTTTTGGCTGTCCGTGGGATATTCAGCACTCTTCTCCAACACCACGAATCAAAGGCATCGGTGGTGGTTCTGCCCTTATTCATTGTCCAGCTCTGAGTTGCGTAGTACGTGATTGAAAATACCACAGCTTGCATCAGGTGCACCTTCGTCTGACATTTTTGCTCCTTAGGACTTTTTGGAGAGGTCCTTGACAGCATACTTTGTCAATGCAATACATCTTTTGATTTCTTAACTGCCCTTCTTAATCAAGGGTGTTAATTATATAGATCCAAGCATGTTATAAGGAGGGACCAGTCGTTGGAGATGGACATCATGCTTGGTAGGGTAGAGGGACAGCACAAGAGAATGACAGCTGGATGAGATGGATTGACCCCATGACTGGAGTGATGGGGGTAAGTGTGTTAGAGACAACGAGATTGGCTCAGGATAGAGCAGGGCTCAGAGCTGTTGTACATAGGGTCACCACTATGAGTCAGAGTCCACTCAAAGGCACATAACAACAACAAGAAGATGAAATCATTGACAGTTTCAATCTAGCCTTATCCAGAAGACTCACTACCATCAAGTAGATTCTGTCTCCTAGTGACCCTCTGTTGGGTTTCTAAAGCTGATAAATCTTCAGAGGAGGAGACTGCATCTCTCTTGCACGTGGATGGATCTGCTGGTGGATTCAACCTGTCAGATAACAGCTTATCCCACGAGGGTTTCTTTTTCCAACCTTTGGAACTTTGAATTTACAGCATCTTTCACTCTATTCCTTTTAAGTATGTCTGTATTTCTATTGTAATTGGCCACCTTGGAAAGTGAGACTTTGTTCAGCATTCAGCAAATGGCAAGAACCAATTACACCTTGTCTTCCTTTCTCTGCATTCAGCTTAAAAACTAATTTCTCTCTAAGGATTTGGTACTCTCTGCACAGTTACAGTCATCTCAGAAGTCTCGTCTCATCATTGTAAGGTCAGAACTGACTCATAGCTGACCCTCCAGTGGCTTTTCAGAGACTAAATTGCACAAGAACAGGTTGCCCATCTTTCTCCTGCTTCTAAGAAATAATCCCAAAGTAAATTGAATTAACAGGTTATATATTCTTGGAAAAGTTCAGAAGGTATTGTTTGAGATGATCACTGTAGGAGGTGGTATACAAATTATATATATATAAAACTTTACTTCTTAGATATTTCCAATTACAGAGGAAGCTCCAGTGGCCTAGTGGGTTAGGAGTTGCCTTTCTAATTGAAGGGTGAGTGGTTTGAATCCCCTACCTACTCCAAGGGAGAAAAAATTTCTTGTACGATTTGCAGCCTTAGAAAATTCACTGATGGCTCATTAACGAGTCAACTCCAACTTGACAGCACATAGCAATCCTAGGACAGAAATATTTTTCCATTGCTTGAAAATTACCAACAAGCACTTGTCTGATAAATTGTCTTAAGTGTCAACAAATCTACAAGAATTAATGAAATTTGTAGGCTGCATAGTATATGTACAAAAATTAGTTGTCTTTACAACAAACACTTGAAAATGAAAAATAGATCATTTACAGTACCCTCAGAGAAGTTATAGTAGCCTCAAATAAGTAGAAAGAAGATTGGCAAGATTTGTGCAATGCCTCTTGTCCCAAAAACAACATTTATGAGAGAAAGGGCATTGCAGGAGATAGAAGAATCTGCTGTGCTGATGGCTTCAAAGACAGTATAACACCAAACTGACAATTTTCCACAGATATGTCTATGCATTCAACAAAATAAGAATCTTACCACTTACTCTTCTAGCTTGTTCATTGCTTCTAGGGAGCTCTCGTGGCCTAGTGGCAAGAGGCTGTGCTACTATCCCAAAGGCACACAGTTCAAATCCACGAGCTGCCCCATGGGAGTTGCTGTTGTTGATTGCCTTCAAGTTGAGCATGACTTATAGCAAGCCTATAAACAAAAGACCTGAAGCCCCTCTACAACAAATGACATTTATCAAAGTTCGTAGAGTTTCTGGAGGCATGTTATTTAGGAAGTGGATGCCACTCCTGCAGGATGGACAATCTTGCATGCAATTTACTGTCTCTGAAAACCCGCCAGAGGGTCAGCTATGAATTGGGTCCAATTCTACAGCTCACAGCCACCAACACCATTTGTTCTTATATAAACTGACAAAGATAGATGAAAATGCAGTAGACCTTAAAATAGCTACCATAATCTTAAGGAATAAAAGTGGAAGAATTTATGTAATTTCAAAAATTGCCCCAAAGAGAGTATACCCATTCCTACCCATTGCTGTCAAGTTCAGGCTAAGTCATAGCTGACCCCACCCTACTGGGTTTCCCATGATGTGAATCTCAGGGGAGGAGATTGTCCATTTTCCTGCCTCAGAGCCTCTAGCGAATTTGAACTGCCGGAGAGGTGTTGAGTTAGCTGCACAACT